TTATAATCGGCAGACTTATCACGTACACGGTAAAAGGCCAAACAGGCTCCCGCCTACGCCGATCGAGCCATTTTCTTTGGGTAGCGGTAAAATGATTTCGTTTGAGGACTATGAATGGATGTAGAATGCGTGCAGTATTCCGAAAAGGACTACACAACGGCGGAAGCTTTGGCAGTTCAGCTCTATCAAGCAAGAAATACTAGAAAATCGCGATCTTTCTTCAGAATTCATCAGAATAGGTAACTAAAAAACTATTCAAAAGGATTTGTACGCGTTGTCGCGACCATGCAAGTACACGCGCATTATATCCTAGAAAATAGTGCAAATACGAACCTCTCAACACTGCTCAACGGGGTTATCCCATTAGAACCACCAACAGCATAAAGCAAGTTGTCGAGCACTGCAACACCGGCTCCATATCTGTAAATGAAGCAATTTTTGAGAGGTACGCTGTACGCTCTCCTGCAGAGATTCTGATGCTTGTCATGGGCGAGGTGAATGGTCCGCAAGTGTAGAAGTGTACCATTCGTCGCTCGAAAGCGCTGAACTAAGGCTAGAGGGTACTGACAGCAAATCGTTGTTGGAGATCCCCGAACAGAGGGGGGGGGTGTTTGGTCCGCTGGGAGAGGACCACAGAGGGCCATATTTGGGCTGAGAAAAATTTCTCCTGATAGTTGATTTCTCTCGTTTCAGGGACGTTGTAGGGGGGGGGGGGAATTTGGTCGCTGGGAGAGGAGAAGGGTCGTATTCCCCTTCCGACATTTTTAGAGAGGTTGCTGACTTTTCGTTGGTTTTTCTATTTTATCCCCCCCTCTCAAAAGCAGAATTCTTTTGTAAAAGTATAAAAGTAGAAAAATTCTCGGGGGAATCTCGGAAAAGTGGTAGGCGGACGAATGTAGCATATTTCTACAGTTACGGGCTTCGGCAATGATCTTTCCAACAGGTGAGCGTACAGCATAATTTTGAAGCTGGTTATTTTATAATGACGTAGTACCTTGGAGTACTCATAGGAGCGACATACTCCCATACAGCGTCTGCTTTTGCAGGGTCGAGACATTCCACAGTGCAAAGGTCTTCATCTTTGGCGGATCCTCCCACTGAAACATAGTACGTGATTAAAAATAAGTACCTTTGCTTGGCATTCACGCAGGAAAAAACGATAGGTACGGTCGGACCATAGTCAGAACTTCTTCCTGGCATATTCTGTTGGATAGCTAATATCCCCTCAGGTACTGTCAAAAGCAGTAGTGTTTATTCTAAGTACGACGTTGTATCCACAGTCTTATGTAACCGTGTGTACATCAGACTGTGCATATGTGCCTTACGTCCGTCTGTTAGCCTGTCAAGAACCTTCCCTATGTGGAGAATCTCCGTGCCATTCTCCCTGTGACAGATC